AGTAAGAAAGTGAAAGGAAAGTTCGTGGAGAAGACTGAAAATGTAAGCCAGTTTATATCTGGATTGGTGGTAGGCCATGAGTTCTGGAGACTACCAGTGGAAAGTTCTGGAAGGTCTTGGAGGGAAAGCTTGATGCAGCAGATTAAGAGAGTTACAGGGCAGTTTGAAAATAAGCATTCACATAAAGATGGCTTATCTTGAAGTCTTGAACAGGAATGTGGACTTGATGTGGTCGATCTCAGATGCTTGAAGGATGTGGTATATCCGTGTCAGCCAAACTTATTTGACCACGAAACATTTTTAAAACACTAATGTATTTATGGAACATCAAAAGAAGTTCATGAAATATGAGGAGCTCTTTGATCAACGTAGGCATTTAAAAACGGTCTCAATGACTCTTAAATACAGAGAACAAACTGAAGGTGGATGGAAGGGTAGGGGAGAGAGAAAATGGGTGATGGGCATTGAGGAAGGCACATGTTGGGATGAGCACTGGTGTTGTATGTAAGCCAATCTGACAATAAATTATATTTTTTTAAAAAATGGTCTCAAGAATAAATTAGTTTCTGCGAAAAATTATCAAAAATCTTTTCTGTCGTTTTAGTACCGAATAGAAAAGAAACTAGAGGAATCAAATAATTTTTGCTTGTTTGTTTTAGTAAGAACAGAAAAGAAAACCTGAGGAAATGATAGAGGTAGAGGTCTGGCCCTACACAAGGATCCCCCTATCATATGCTCAGAAATTTCCCTGATTCTCTAGCCTGATTCTCTCTAGGTAATTTCTCCCCACAAGTTCCCAGACTTCTTCTCTAGTTGGTATCAGCCTTCTAGTTCCCTCAAAGGAATCTAAAGTTGGAAAGTCAGGTTTGAATTTAGAATGAGTGGACTTCTTTTGTACCTGAAGCTCATGGGGCTCATGGGGAGTTTGTAACCTCTAGGAGGAAAGATGTTTTCTGATGAATGTGAACCAACCTTTCTCCCAAATTTCATTCATACTTCTCCTTTAAGCAATCAGAGCATAATTAAATGTCTTGAAATTCAGATTCTGAGAAAATTTAAAAATGCTCTTTTAATCCTAAAGTTTTTGTCATAAAAGCAAGGTCAATGATGTATTACGTATTCTTTCCAAGGACACTGAAGGCTGTCATCACACTTTGCCCAAACATTTTTTTTTATTACTCTCTAATGAAGTCTTGTGGTAAAGCAGATGAAAATAATGTGTCTGAATATGACCTTGGTGATTTACTCCCTAACTTATATTTACAGTATTCTAATTATCCCCTCCTTTGCCTCAGTTGGCTGAAATTTTGGTATATGAGAGAGAATCTGTGTTTTCTGGAACCGTTGCTCCATCATCAGAAAATCTTCCTCTACCTTCTCCTTCTTTTTTCTGAGCACCCTTTCACTTCTTTGCCTTAACTTATGGTTATTTACTTAGGACCCCATGTTTCCAGGAACCTCCATCTCAACAGTTGGGGTTAAAGTTTCCTTGCTCCCCACTGTCACTTCCAAACTATTCTTCCCCACTCTCTGCTTAAAAAATAATAAACCTACTCTCAAGGAAGGGTGACTAAAAAGTTCAGAAAAGTAGTTGTCTTGGAGTCAGGTCAGCAAGTGAGCTCCACACTTCTACTCAATATCTCAACTTTGATATCAACTGTAGTGACTCCCTGGTGCTTCCTTAACAAGTGAACAGTCCTCCACAAATGCATTCTTACTTTCCAGAAACTGAATGAAATTTTATTGAACAGGGCAAATAAGAAGACCAAGTAACCTCCTTGACATTTGCTTCTCCCTTAGGCCCTCATACAAACCATCATGTTTTCCTGCTACATTTACTTCCTACAGATATCTTGAAACCATCTACTGTCTTCTATCTCCACTAATGCATCTACCATCACCTCTAGCCTGGTCACATGTAATATTTGCCTAGTCATTCTCTCCACAATCAAATCTAGAGCCCTCACCCAATCTACTTTCCATGCAGAGACTATTCTTTTCAAAACACTAATCGGATCATGCCACTGATTAAATACCTTTCCATGGCTTCTAAAAGTTTGTAGGTTAAAACCCAAAATCTTTGTCAAGACCTTGCATTTTCCTATCTCTGTAACACTCTTACCCTATGGGATTCAGTCACACTGGCCTTTTTTTTATGGTGCTGGACATCCTACATGCCTATTCACCATGGGTTGCTATACTGACTACTACCTCTGTATGAATGCAAGAACATTTTCCCCAACTCAGTCTCCCCCAGACCCCAAACTCCAGTCCATCACCCCTCTGCTTACACCATAATTTTCACTTCATCAAACTCTATTTTTTATTCAAGTCTCAAATTCACAGTCTCTGTTTCCTCAGGAAATCTTTGAGGTCCGTGGGTAGATGAGGCTCACTTCTTATATGCTCTGAAGTATGGTTTTTTTTGCCCCCAGAAGTACATAATTATATTAATTACTGTCTCCTCTAATAGACTGTAACTCCCATGGAAGCAGGAATCATGCTCAGTTTTGCTTAGCTTAGCCCTTGGAACATAGCAGGTTTTCAATCAAAATGTGTTGAATTGTATAGGATAGTATCTTAATTAGCTTTTGCTTCATAACAAACAATCAAATAACTCTTCGAGGCTTACAGCATAAACATCTTTTTTCTCACATTCATGGATCTGCAGGCTGATCCCAGTTCATACTCTAGGGTCTTCAGGTAACTCAGCTGAGTGGCTCTGCCTTGGGCTGTAGTTCAACTGTGCTTGGCTTTAGGCTAAATACTGCCTTCAGGTCGGCTTTATATGTTTTCCTCAGGACATGATCTCATGGCAAAGGTAGAAGCACAAGATCCAAGCCAAACCACACAAACCCATTTATGGCCTCTACTCATATCAGGTCCATTAGCATTCTTTGGCCCAAACAAGTGATATGGCCAAACCCAACATTGATGGAGTAGCGAAATATATTCCATCCAAAGGTAGGGGAGAAAAGGAGTGACTATTTGCTGGGCAATAATTCAAACTATAATATATGAATACAAAACTCACTGTAATTCAATTTAGGAAGTGTTAGATGACATAAATGACATATTAATAATGGCCTGTGTAACTCAGGAGAGATAAAAAGCCAGAGCGTCATAAAAGAAAAAAGTTTTTATGAAAGAAGTTTCATTAAACATAGGCCTTGAATAATGAAAGGATTTAAACTTGTAGACCCAGAGCTACCTAGACATCTCAAGTGGGTGAAACATTGAGAGTAAAGGCCTAGAGAGAGGAATGTGTAGAACATTTAAATATTTGTGTGGCTAGAACACAAGAGTACCTGTAGGGAAGTAAAAAGAGAAAGCTGATAGTGATTTTATTGGCAGTGCTTACAGTCAGCAATGGTGTTAAACAGTGGAGTAACATGTTCAGGACTGGGCTTTGGGACGATCCATTTGTAGCAATGAATGGGACATACTAAGGGCAAAAATTGAATGGAAGAAAATCCATTAGCAAATTTTTCAGATGTTTGTGAGGGCATGACAATTGCTTGATCCAGAGAAGTATCGGTAAGAACTTAGCAATTAGCTAGCTGTGGAGAGTCAAAAAAGAAAAAAGTCAAAGATGCTTGGGATTTTTTTAAGTTAATAGACCTGGAAAAGGGTAATATAATCGTCTGAAATAAAAAACCACAAGAGGAAATATTTAGAAAAGATGATTCACTGGTTTTGGATATGTTTTTCTTGATACATCGGCATGAATACCCAGATAAAAATATCTGACAGGTGTGGAGTTTAAAACTGAGACTAAGGTGGGGGGTCCTGGGTGGCTTAGTTGTTTAAGTGTCAAACTCTTGATTTCAGCTCAGGTCATGATCTCACAGTTCATGAGTTTGGGCGACATGTCAGGGTTTGTGCTGACAGTGTGGAGCCTGTTTGGGATTCTCCCTCTCCTTCTCTCTCTGTCCCTCCTCCACTTGCACTTTCTCTCTCAAAATAAATAAAAAACAAAAGAAAGTGAGACTAAGGCTGAAGACAGGCATTCACTCATCCATTTGAGAACCATTTATTACTATAATCTTTACAGAGATTGTGCCCATCCTGTTGATATTGTATGTCTAGTATCTATCAGGTTCCTGGTTTAGTGCAGGTTCCTGGAACATACTTACTAAATAAATGCGAGGCAATGGGCCTACAATGGTGAAAAAGGTACAGACAATGCTCTCGGTAAGTTCACAGTCTAGATTTGGGAGTTACCATAGTAAAAGTTATGACTGAGGCTATGAAAAGAAATAAAATTGCCTAGAATCCTTTACCCAACCCTAACTGCCCAAAAGCAAACTTGGTAAATATGAACATGCAGGGGTGGAGGCGGAGAATAAAGTGAAAGCTGGAGCCACACGAGTAACTACAGAAAAGAAGAAAACCAAAATAACCAAGTCTCACAGAAGCTAAGGTAAGAGAAAATTGCCTTAATGTCATAGCAGTGAAGACCAACGGAATTTCCAATAGGATGAAAAATACAAACATGTTATTTGACTCGGCAAGAGCAGGTCCATGATGTTTTGAGATATTGAACAGTTGGGGTAGAAACCCGATAGCAAAAACTTCATTAAACAAGAAGTGCTATATGAGTCAAGGCAGAAAGTGCAGTCTAAACTTTTTTTTCTTTAACTCAAGAGGTTCTTAACTATTGAATTAAGATAACTCATAACCATGTATGAATGACTAATGTCTTTCTTTGGTTGTCCTTTATTCAGTTATTCCATAACCTATGCCAGGTAAATCCTTACCTCTAGTCGTGTTATGTTCTTTGTCAAAAAACTTGCATATTACCTCTTGAACTAATTCCTAGATAAGTTCTTTTGCTCTAGTTCAAGTGCCAAACCTATATTTAAGGAATTTTCATCCAGGTCCTTTCCTTATAATATGTATTCTTCACTCCAAGCATTTTGAACGATATTCTATCTACTCCTTTAATTAAACACACACACACACACACACACACACACACACACACACACATTTCTCACCTATGTGACTGCTTACATACATCTGTTTACTTATGACACCTTGTTCTTACAATCTTGCTTTCCCCCAAGGCAACTGATCCATGAAGCCTTTATTAGTCTCCTGAAGCAATTGTCTTTTTCTCTTTTTTTTCTGAAAGAGGCAAATACAAAAAGACTGAACAAACAGAGGCCAGAGAAGTATAGACATAATAGATAGACATAATAGAGGTTTTTAAAATAATAAACAGATAATTTGAGCAATTCTATTAAAAAGGAATAATCTAGATTAAATGGACAGACAATATGTTCTCTACCAGAAAATAAAATGCCAAAATTTGATGCAAGAAAATATAGATACCTCAAATGTAGGTAACAAAGCAATTAATCTCAGACCCACAGGGTTTCAGGTAAGGCTTACAAAACTATCAATGAATAGGTAACCCTGTATTATACCAATGTAATTTTAAACATGAGGAGGGAGTTGCCTAATAGATTTTAGGATGCTAACATAGCCTTGATTCCAGTATTAGCTTGTGACTGTATAAGAAAAGAAAATTATACAACCATTTCCCTTATGAACATAGATGCCAAAATTCATAGTAGCATATGAGCCTACCAACTTCAATAGTGTATTGAAAATAACAATCAGGTAAAGTTTAACCCATGATTGAAAAAATTATTGAATAACAGAAAAGTCTACCAATTATAGTTCACCAAATCAATGAAAGCAAACTGGACAATCATGTAATTTCTCCAATGATACAGAACAATATTTGACATTATTAAAAACTAAAAGAAAACACCTCCTGAGACTAAGACTAGAAACTTGAAACTTTCTCTTTTTTAAATTAACTTATTTATTTTGAGAGTGAGAGAGAGCAGGGGAGGGGCAGAGAGAGAAGAGAGGGATCCCAAGAAGGGTCCCTGCTGTCAGCAGAGAGCCTGATGCAGGGCTCGAACTCACAAACCATGATATCATGACCTGAGCCAAAACCAAGAAATGGAATGCATAACCAAGTGAGCATCCAGGTACCCCAAAACTTGGAACTTTGTTAGTTTCCTAAGGCCTGACCACCAAAATTCTAGACCAATATGAACAACCATCTATCAGAGCTATTGTGATTATTTGTTTGTTTATCTATATTTTTCTGAGAGAGAGCGCACAAGCAGGGGGGAGGGACGGAGGGAGAGAAAGAGAGAATCGTAAGCAGGTTCCACACTCAATGGGGAACTTAATGTGGAGCTCAATCTCCAGGCCGTGAGATCACGACCTGAGCCAAAATCGAGTCAGATGCTTAACCAACTGAGCCACTCAGGTGCCCCAACAGCAATTTAAATAAATCAGCAAATTCTATAGAATCAATTTGAAAAATCAAAGTATTTTTCCCCCACCAGCAATTACCAACTACAAAATAAAGATCCATTCATAATAGTAATGTGAACTGGAATTAACCTTACAGGAATGCACAAAAACTTTATGGAGTAGATACTACATGTTCATGGTTGGGTGATGCAACATCTGTAATTTCACGGTCATCTCAACCACAAATCTAGTCAGATTTTTTTACTACTTTTCTGTGACTTTTCAAATTTTCTCACTTGCACCACATTTATATATATATATATTTGTCATATATATATATTTGTCTTATTTGCTCTGCTAAACCCTAAGTCATTTGAGGATAGTAATGTCTTTTCCATTAAAAAAAATTGCTCAGAGCACCTAATAACACCAAGTCTTATATGAGAGGTGCTTTACAGAAATGTATGTTGAGGAAGTGGAGGGAAAAGATTTTGAAGGTATATTTTCAAGTTTTCATGATTTGTCCTAGAAAAAGTTCTTAAAATAAGTTCATAAAGTAGAACTTCAATGTTGAATGGCTTCTCAGTTTCATTTCTTTTCCTATAGTTTTTAATGTTATCATTGACTATATCCTAAACTAGCTGAAGTGCTAGTAAAAGTTTGGTATATTGCAGCTCCTGGGTGGCTCAGTCAGTTAAGTATCTGGCTCTTGATTTTGGCTCAGGTCATGATCTCATGCTTCCTGAGCTTGAGCTCCATGTTAGGCTCTGTCTGCACTGACAGCATGGACCCTACATGGGACTCTCTCCCTCTCTTTCTCTCTCTCTCTCTCTCTCTCTTTGCCTCTCCTTCAACTCACATTCTTTCTGTATCAAAATAAATAAATAAACTTTAAACAAAGTTCGGCATATTGATATTTATATATCATCAAATTTTAAAAGAGATATTTCAGGGGCGCCTGAGTGGCTCAGTCAGTTAAGCATCCGACTTTGGCTCAGATCATGATCTCACTGTTTGTGGGTTTGAGCCCCGGGTTGGGTTCTGTGTTGACAGCCAGCTCAGAGCCTGGAGGCTGTTTCTGATTCTGTGTCTCCTTCTCTCTCTGGCCCTCCCCTGCTCATGCTCTCTCTCTCTCCCTCTCTCCCTTTCTCTCTGTCTCTCTCTCTCTCTCAGAAATAGGTAAAATATTAAATAAATAAATAAATAAATAAATAAATAGAGATATTTCACCAAAAGTTTCATATTGACTTCTAGTCCAGTGTTCTTTTGGGTTTTCAGGCACCTGCTATTTTCTTTTATTAGAAACTTTTGGGAAATTACTATATATTATATCATTTTTAAAAATTAGGTAGATTTCCGTTCCTTCTCCTTTTCACAGAAAAAACCCACATGCATCTATTTTGTTTCTATATTACTTATCAGTATCTCTTTAAATAGCATATGAATCAGTCAATGCATCTGTCAAATTACTAGCTTGTATAATGTCCAAATATGTCTTCAATCGAAATAGAATCATAATAGTCACCAAAATTGTCAATGGTGCAAAGGTTATATCTATTCTGTGAAAATTTTAAATCATCAGGACATTTATGAGCTTGTAGGCTCATAAATATTGGAACATGAAATTGAAATTGATCTGAAAAATTAGATGAGGACAAAGAGAGCGTAAGTAACTTTCTTATAGTCACAAAGAAGTTGGTGAAAGAAAATAGAGCAGACAATCAATCAAACCATCAGCGACTCGTTGACTGCCCATGCTTTTTTGTTCTTATCACTATGCCATTATTCCTAATAGAGTAAATAGAAGCAAAATCATATAGAACAGCCAAACCTGCACAAAATTGTGAGGTCAGTAATGTTTTCCTTTCTTTCATAAAGTGTTCTTCAGTGAGATATCAGTTCCTCACTTTCTGGACATTTTTACCTGGAACCATTACTTACCCTTGTGAGCTTATTAGCTTACATGTACCTTGGAAATAATGCCTATTCAGAAAGCGTTTGGAAAGATTAAACGATAAAGGCAAATCCCTTCTTAGTGATCTAACCATACTGACTGATGAAAAGCATTTTTTCTTCCTCCCTCAATTTAAAACAGTATGGTTTTCTAGCCTCTACTTCTAACAAAATAGGTAAAATATCTCTTGACCTGACTTACTCTTTGACAAAACTAATTAACTCCATTTTCCAAAAATCTAAGTTATTTTATTCGAAAATAAAAATCATGTTTGACTGCATAAAAGAAAACATGAATGGCTCATTTATATAAACTTGCTCTTTGTGTCTATATGTCATACTAAAAATAATTATGTATATCCTAAAATTTGACACACTGACTTTGTTGCAAATCTAATGCATTCAAAACGAAACATATGGTAGAAAGAGCACTAGATTAGGAGTCAGGAAACCTTGCCTCTAATGCTTGCTTGGCCATTATTTAATCATTTAGGGTAAATTACTTAATCTCCCTGACACTCCTTCACTTCAAACTCAAGGGGCTGAGTGAGGTGATTTCTGAGGTCATTCACCCCAGAACAGTCTGTTTCTCAGCACTTTTACAAGTGCTCAGTCTTCCCGAGATTTTCTCCTCCCCCATCTACTTTTAACTTACCCAAAACTACCAAGAACCTCATCATTTCTCAGAGTTTTGCTCTTGAAAATTGGACATATAGCTTAAAAATCAATAAGGGAACATGAAAGCCTAAGTTATGGTTACACAAATGCTCAGATGTATATAGAAAAATATTAGTCTTATCTCATCTGAATTGTTAGAATTTTATAATAGTTTCCTTTGAAATATGTATTAGAGAGAAATAAAAGAATTTAAAGGCTAGAAGTACTTAACTTTTACATTTGGTGGATGAGAAAGACTTAGCCATTTTTCTGAGTTGATAGTAGACATAATTACAACACTACATCTCCAATGTTCAAAACTTGACCAATTATAGATAATAAGATGCTTGAGGTATCTTAAAGTTTTAAAAATTCCCCAGAGTGATATTTTCTGAAGCCATGTTTACCTACTACTAACCAACCACAGTTACCTAAAGAGAAAACTTTTCATTCATTTCATTCATTTACACACAACCTCATCTATTCAAAAGCAATTTAAAAAAATTCAATCCTTTGGTTTGTACACTGGATTCCAACACTTTTTTCCTACTTAGGGAAATTGCTGCTGCAATTCTGCCCTTACCCACATAACTCTGTCCTTTTTCCTGATCATGTCCTATCTATATAAAAATGCTATAATTTCTCCCATTAAAACATAAACCCTTTGACCTCATATCCCCTCTAGCCACTCTTCTTATAGAAATTTTTTTTTCAAAAACAGTTGCCTATATTTCTTTTTTTTTTTTTAAATATTTTTATTTATTTCTAGGAGAGAGAGAGAGAGAGACAGCTTGAGCAGGGGAGGGTCAGAGAGAGAGGGAGATACAGGCTCTGAAACAGGCTCCAGGCTCTGGGCTGGCAGTCAGCACAGAGCCCGACGCGGGGCTCGAACCCACGAACCGCGAGATCATGACCTGAGCGAAAGTCGGACGCTTAACTGACTAAGCCACCCGGGCGCCCCATGTTGCCTATATTTCTTAGCTCCCATTATTCTCCTTCATTCTTCCTTGAATCCTACCCTACCGGGCTTTTGCCACCGCTACTTTACCCAAAATAGCTCTTGTCAAGAGGTCAACAGTTACCTTCAGGCTATTAAATCCAATAGTCAATTCTCAGTTCTCATTTTAGTTTACATATCAGCAGCACACAACATAGATGATCCCTTCCTTTTCCTAGAAACAGTTTCTTCATTTCACTTCCACCATAACTGTAATAAAAAAAATAATGACTAACACAGGCTAGCACTGCTCCACTTTGTAGTTCACCTGCATTTACCATGATCCATCTGGTTTTTCATAAAGGCTATATAGATGAAGTCAATTTTGATATGGTAAAGAAGGCTACTCTTGCTTTTTGTATTAGTCTTTGGTAGAATTCCTGCAATTCCTCCTGGGATGAAGTACTGTGGTAGTACTCTGGTTTACTACCTTCGCCAGAGTATAGGGTGGGAGTTGGTGGGGTTTGTGGAGTGGGGAGTACCATTTCAGAGGCTTCCACTTGTTTTTCCTATCAGAATGGTTCTCACTGCACAGGTTAGGAAACCAAAGTGATGATTCTGCCAGTGGCTGAGAGTAGCCACCATGATTATACCCTCAAGAACTTAAGGGTTGTGGATTTGACCTGCTGGAAGCTGACAATGGGCCAGGATTCCATCTGTTTTCTAGCCCTCACCTTCAGCATTTCTAATAAGGAATCTATGACAGAGTGATCTGAGGCATCTGGCATTGTCCAACCCTAGTGTAAGGTATGGTAGTAAATGGTCATGCCCTTTGGTAATAAACTGGTAAACAGCTTCTGGAAATACTTGTTTAAGAAATACATAGTTCTTCCTCAAGGAGACTGGCCTTTTCATTCAGTCAATAGGCTCAGGAATGGAAAATCGGTAGGGATGAGTTTTTTGTTTTTTGGTTTTTTTCTATTACTCCGGTTGACTTTAATATTTTATTTTCAAGATCTTAATATTTGGCTATATAATTCAAGCTCATTGGCTGCCCATCTCTATTGTCTTTAAGAAACCATGCACCATCAGCCATTGTCACAGATCCTGTACATAGATCCCATGGTTGCTATCCAACTGAGTTGCCCATTTCAGTAATTAGGACCACCCTACGTCTGGTGGTTAAGCTCACCATTGAGCCTCCTCTATTCTAGAATTCTATCACTCCCATTGATACTACAGTTAATTCCATAGTAGCAACTCTTGTATCAACTTGCTTACAGAGGACAGCCATCAGTGATGCCAATGTCCTCCTTACCAGTGCATTCTTCATTGCTTAAGTGAAGGAAGTGTCATTTGCACACAACAGGGGAACATAGCTGTTTTATGTAATAAAGTTATTCTAGCTTGACCATTCTTTTGAACTTCTGATTCCTTGCTCAATTGTCTACCAAGGCAGTTACAAGATCTCCATCTCATTTACCATGTGATCATTATCTCTGTCAAGAAGCTATCCAAGCAGTATATTAGGACTCAGTCCAAGCATTATTGCCTGTATGTTAAACCCTGAGTTATAAGAAAGCACCTCCATAGCAATAAACTCATCCTTACTGAGTTTTATGTTTTGCCCCCACCACCATCTTACACTATTCCCATTCTCATCTCCCAGTTCTTATCAGTTATTAGCCATGTACCTCAGTTCTTTAATTAATAATTCACTTCTTCCAATAGCAGAGACTGTACTTCTCTTCTGCACCCATGCTGACTTGACCCCACTTATTGGCCCAGGCACAATGAGAAAAGGTGTAAGCAGATCTTGAGAAAGACAAGCATCATTTCTGAGAGTCTTCAAGTGAAGCCTTTGCATAGCTTCCAAGCATTAGAAGCTGTCAGTTGGAGAGAAGAGCTGCTTCTGCAGACCTTTAGCATTTCTGAAAAGCTTCTAATAGCAATGCTACAACATTACCACCATCCCAAATAGTATCAGCAGTGAGATCTTTCTTTTATCAGAGAATGATCAAATTGCACACTCTCATTCTAAGGATCTGTTTTCTAAGACCACTTATGCTACCAACTGTTTTAGGTTGGGTTTCCTAAAAAGCAGGTGTTGAGTCAAGGATCTGGGTATAAGTAATTTCCCTGGGAAGTAATTCCAGGAAGCATGGGAAGGGAGTAGGGAATTGTAAAAGGAAATGGAGGAAAGGCAACAAACAGAATGCCAGAGAGCAGGTAATCATGGTGGGTGACTGATATTCTCTGAGAAACTGTAGGATATACCTCAGAATTGTATCATCACTGGGCAACGAAGTTATCCACAAACTCCTGACTCTCCCTGTTTGGTGGTTGCTCTGAGAGGAGTTAACCCTCTGCCCCATTCGGGCACAGGTCAGACATGCTTCCTCAGCCAGTTAGGCAGAAATAATGGGTTTGCATTGCCCACAGTAGCGATATGTGGGATCCACATAGGCCAAGGAAATGGGAGCAGAGTAGTGACAGTGTCTGCTATGCTACTGTGTACTGAAAACCTATCTCTAAAAGAAGGTGCCAATTACATTTTCAGTACACATAAAAATAAACCTTTATTATTGGTTAAATGTTTGTCCATGTCCTACTTAAAAATCTTGTTGTATTCTACTAGTGCACTCCCTAGATTGGAAAAGATTATAATGAATAACCACTGAAGAATTATGATTTATGGATATAGTTACATAGATATAGATAACTTATATTATGTACAGTTATGTATATAATTTTATATCTATATGATAACTCTGTAATAGAGATTGAAAGGAAGAAAGACATGTATATGTATATGTATATGTATATGTATATGTATATGTATATGTATATGTATATGTATATGTATAGAAACCAGTTGGGAGGCTATCACAATCTTCAGACCAAGGCAGTAGCTATAGATGGAATGGAGAAGTTCTGAATGGACAGTTCTGAAAGATCTTAATGAGAATGTATTAGGACTCATTGACTGATAGAAAATGAGAATTAAAAGAGAGGATAAATTAAAAACATAGTTAATATATTTTCCTTTCCTTTAGATTTGCATGTTAAATTCTTAACAGCAATCAAGTTAAAGAGAAATTACAGATAACTTCAGAAAAATCTAGTAGAAATTCTTCCTACTGAATTTTAAACTAACTCCATAGTTTATTTAGATGCTCTCCAAAATTTGAGAACCATTGCCCAATACAATACTACTAGAATTCCTTATGAGATTTGAGTGTCATTAACTGGCTTGTAGGTAATAATTCTCAGAATATCATTCACTTCAGGTTAACATTTTCTATATGGAAATTTATTAAGTCTTATTAGCATGAATCAAAAGTTTAACTGTATGTCTATCATACTTTCACTAACTACCTTGGCAAAAAGCCAAATGACATGTTAACTGTTGTCAGACAGCATTCTGAGTAGAACTTTACAGCAAAAGGAGATGAACTGAGAAAAGCACTGCATGATTCTAATCCAAATGCCAAAACCCAAGTGCTCCCTACTCTGTTTCTAGTAAGCACAGAATGACTCTCACCCGAGGCAGTGCCAGAATGAAACAGGATGGATTTATAATTGGCCATTCAAACTTATTAATTGCCCCAAATTAAATTCACAATATGGTACAACCTGGTTGCCATGGCACTGACACAAACCAGACAGGACACATTCTTTCCACTTGAGAGACTGATTAATGCAACATTCAACAGGGGACTACATCTCTTCCAACTCTGTGTGACAATTTCTCGTAGCAAATAGGTTGTAACAAAAAGATGTCACTTCTTCTCTAGTTTCCTAATGATTAAGAAGGTTACAACCAATATCCTTACATGTAAGCAGAAAAAGAAATGTATGAGAGAAGTTATTGACAGTTTAGGGATAGAGTGATGGTAAAATATATATCCTAGAAAGATCTTCAAGAAGAGTAAAAACAAATTGTTTATTTCTGAATGATTTAGTATAGCCTTAATTCATTCAGCAAACATTTGTGGAATGTCTATTTTATATGTGACTGGCATATTCTATGAACGCTGGGAATACAGCAGTGAATAAGACAAAGTGTGTCTGATGAACACAACAGCAGTAACTAACAACCAGTCCTTCAGCACAAAAAGCTCTGATTTGCAGACCTCACTGATTCGCATGGCGCAAATATTCCCATGATGGCCAATTTCAAGCTACCTACATGATGTCACTGAGGAGCTAGGAACTGACATACACAATCAGCTTTCATGAGCCAGTAGGAGGCAGTTCCAGCACCTTTACAGAACACAGGCACAATGGGCTCTCTTCTAAAAAGAATGGTTGAATTGTGTTGAAATATAAGTGTTGAGGGGTGCCTGGATGGCTCAGTCTGTTAAGTGGCTGCTTCTTGATTTCAGCTCAGGTCAGGATCTCATGGTTTGTGAGTTTGAGCCCTGCGTCAGGCTCTGCGATGACAGCATGGAGCCTGCCTGAGAGTCTCTCTCTTCCTTCCTCTCTGCCCCTCCCCTGCTCACACTTTCATGTGTGCTCTCTCTATCAAATATAAACAAATACAACATTTTTTAAAAAGGAAATATAAGTTTTGAGAAACACTATATCCTTTTATTGTGTACTCTATCCTTCTCTTAGAGGTTGTTCAAACACATTAGCACAAGAACAAGTCCTATAGTGAAAACTTATTTAGAATTATCTACCCAGTGCTTCTTAAAATGACCACAGAATTATCTTTCCAGGCTGGGTCATCTTTCAACTGTGTAATCAGACCCCTAGAAGCTAAAAAATTGGTGTTTATGACTTAGAAGGACTTGAATGTAAGGATCTTAGAATACCCAAGACAGGCAGAGGCAGATACATCTTCACACAGTTTGGAGTAGCAACATGTTCTGAAGAGATTATATATTCTAAATGCACATAAGAGTTGTTCCTGTATCATTTGATTCTCGTTACCAAGACTTGTTTTAGTAACCACTTACGTATCTACTTCTCAGTCACTCAGGGAACAGTCAGATTATGTCTTCTTTTATGGATTACATAAATCCTTTACATCCTTCTCCTGAATTCTTCCTTGATCATCCACTTAAGGCTGATGGGATAAAAAACAGGTGAAAGTCAAACTAACCCAGTAATTTTATTTGATAGTAACTTGACAATTTAGGCTTTAGAAATATTGATTAAAATAAGATGATTGGGGAATAACTTAGCTTTTTTCCAGACCAACACAGGTAACTGAGAAATTGTGATAAGTCACTTACACTTTAATGAGAAATAAAATTATGGAGACCCATTTGAACACCAATAGTTTTTTTTTTTAATTTCACCTAAGACAAAACTGAGACCCTGAGCAATTAAGTAAATTAGAAAATATCTAGTATCAATTTTGTGTGGCAGGTTTAGAACATGTACAATTCTGCAAACCCATACTGTAACAAATAATAAAGTTTTTCCCTTTGAAGTTTTAGGAAAATTCCAAAGTGGTGAAAGCCTCTTGGGGAAAAAAAAGTCTATCTATCAATCCATCTACCTAGTTACCTACCGACCTACTTGAGTTTTGCCATGGAAGCAGGATGCTAAAAGACACAATGTGTTTAAATATACTCACAAAAATACTTCCAGACATTCTAAAAAGAACTAAATTTTTGCATAAATGTATTCTCTGTAGGAAACTACCATAAATATTACTTATGAAAATTGTAATGATTAAACCTTGGACTCCAGAGAGTGAAGTTTCAAGAGCAGCCTAGATAATGATACAACTTGATGCTAAATCAAATAATATTTAAATTTAATTCAGTAAATTTTTACCAAGAACATGCTACAAAAGAGGCTTTTGCTTGTGGCAAAATGAGAATCAGTACCTACACGTCAAGAGTTTATTCGGCAGAAGCTAAAGCAATTTAAAATATTTTGATGGTAATTTCCCAAGAGGAACATTGACTATGAAATAAATATTTGCCATGGAAAATAGAAGACCTAGATCATAACCTAAACATAATTTTGGCTAACTGAAAGACCATCCATGCAAATTTGGTTTTATCAACACTGGTGAGTTGAAGCTGGAAAGTTAAAATTATTGACTCCACTCATTCAGTTTCTGTTAACTTATGAAACAAAATCACTTCCTGGAAAAAGAAAAAAAAGAACTTAGCAAATATTGTTGTAGACTGTTGACCTCATCCATTTGGTGATGAGAGTTACCTCGCTAAAATATTTTGAAGCAATTGGTTGTGGCCTTCTTAAATTCTGTTTAGAAGGCTTTTGTTGTGAAATAGAGGAATTTGAATGAAATATTGCTCCTATGCGTTCTATTTTTCCTTTTCTTATACAAGTGAAATTTATTACCTATTATCCTCTCTGGTTGCTTCGATGAAATGTCTCCTTAAGATTGCTAATATTAGTAGCAACAACAGCTGGTGAGTGTAATTAGCATTTAAATGAACAATTCACAACTATGTCCTTCCTTCAAGTCCCAGGATACTTCTGATAGATTCTCGATGCACATATGCAGTAGTAGTTGCAAGACAGATATGCAATCAACAGCACAGTCTAAAAGCTCCATCTGTTAATGGATCAGTCATTCTGCGAAGGGCTACTGATATACTCACCATTATTTTGGAAAAACAGTCATCCCAAATCTAATCTCACATCTCCATGCCAGGCCAACTCCTTCTAATATTTAAGGCTGTTCAAGGCTCAATTCCAGCAAGACTAGAATTGGGTTGAGTTATTTTATCAAATAAAAGAACTACCAAAAATCTCTTATCCCTGGTCAAAGCATGAAACATATTATAATGTTGCTTTGTCCACATGGGTCCAAAAAGTTTCAAGGAAGTTTGTACCAGCTGGTTAGCATTGTTTATTGATGACAGTGAAACTGATGATTTGCACCTAATCTTCATGGGACCTTTCTGCCATTGGTGATGCCAGTAGTGACAGTCAAACAGGTTTCAATTGCTAAGGGACATTACCAGGACCCAAAGTGACAGTGTTTTCAAATCTAGAGTTTTGCAAGAAAAGCATACAATATTAACAGCATTGGTAGTGATTACACAGCAAGAATGTGGCCAAATAAAATAAAATACCATAACCAAGACTCTACCTTAGTCTTGATTCCAAGGTGTCCAGTATGCACGCCAGTGGCTCTTGATCTAAGGGAACAACTGCATCCATCTAGCCTTTTACAAAGATGGGAAAATTGAGGCTCCTACTGGCCACTGTGGACTACTAATGTGAGATTGGTTTGCATTATGTATTTAAGTAAGATATTTTTGCTTTAATGCTGTTGCTATATTGTATTCTTTTCTAACAAAACTCTAAATTTGGAAACACTATCACTTCAGGTCCTGGGAATGTTCTTTAGCAATGGAAATCTATTTGACAGTCACTATTGATGCAAAAGCTATGTAATCGATCCTTTTTAAAAATATTGTTTATTTATTTATTTTGAGAGAGAGAGAGAGAGCAGGGGAGGGGCAGAGACAGACAGACAGAGAGAGAATCCCTAGCAGGCTCTGTGCTGTCAGCGCAGAGCCTGACATGGGGCTTGATCTCACAAACCATGAGACCACGACTTGAGTTGAAATCAAGAGTCATCTGCTCAACTGGCTGAGCTACCAGGTGCCCCTAATCTCTCTTTTTAATAATCACCTTTAAAAAGAATTACCTTTCCAGGATTATAAATGGTAATTTCCCATTGTTCTGCATGTTCGTGTGTGCGTGTGTGTGTGTGTATGATTTGTATTAACTTTTAGTTTTACTAAACTTGGACTCATTTGATGGTGGAAATAAATGATCTGTAATTTTTCTGAAAATAAGTTGTGAATTTTTCACCGTCAGCTGTTAAGGATTCTAATTTTGGTACTTATCAAGCAGAATAAACCTTGTCATGTACAGCAACCAATGTTTATTTGTCACTATATCCAGAATTAAAACACCAGATCCTTTATAGAAATATGTGTAAAATAAATATATAGTTTGCATAAAAGTTAAGAGATTTTTTTCCGTTCTATGTTTAGGTTACTTCTATAGCTAAAAATGAGGTTTGTCTTTTTTTTTAAATTAAAATGATCTAAAAAGTTCTTCTGGGGCTCTTATTTTTGTCATATATGCACCTCTATTTAGACTGAATTGGCACAAGGCAAATGAGTAAATAGATGATGGATAAGTAGATAGGTAATGAGGAAGGAAAAGAGAAGACTAGAGAGACAGTTTTTTGTGATACATGCAGAAAACAAAAACTGTCATTTCTTGAAATCCAATTAAACTATTGTGAAGCTGAGTAAAAAAAAGTCACTCAAGGTCTAGAGTATAAATAAACAATTAAACCACTAAATACTACCTATATCACCACCATTTTCCATCTCATCAAGGATGGATTCACTAAAAATTTTCAGGAGTAAAACTTGTTTCCCAGGCTGTTACAAACACTGGATATTCTACTGGGAAAAACTCTGAATAAGAGTAAAGAAAATAGAGTCAGGTCTTCTATAAGGCTTGTTTTGAAAACGCAAATCTATTCCAAGGTAACTGACATATTAACCAACAGTTTGAGTATAATATGAATTTTACATCTGTTTGTGCATAATTTTATCTGCAGAAAACAGTACATAAAGCAAACAAAACAAAACAAAACAAAACAAACAAACACCCAAACCTGCACCCAGCTGACCTGAGACAAGTCAAATGCACCAAATGCATATACAACCAGACCTTGGACATTTACTAAGGACCTCAGCTAATGGGTGTAACTCAGTTAATGGGTGTTCTTTTGCATTTGTAAATTGTCTATTTAAAAGAAAAATCTATTCATCATCTCAGATATGTCTAAATGGTTCAAAATGCCAATCTGTGCATGCAAAAGAGAGCTTGAAGGATAAAAGAGAAGCTTGAAATGATAAAGCATTTTGACAGAAATCAGAGAACATGTGATATTTCCCAAGAACCAGAGACAACACAAGAAAATAAAAGAAAAAACTATGCTTGGAACAACTTCAATAATAAGGCCTCAAGAAGCAGAAAACATAAAAAGATTGTTAAACATACGGATTGAAGACCACATAGGAAGAAAATCAGAAAACGGAAATCATCTTTTTCATAATCAAAGAGGAAACACTTTTTCTAAGCTCTTTTTCCCCATCACCCTAGGCTAAGATGTAAAGATTTCTGATCAGAGCAGGGATCCCTTAAGATTGTTTTACTGTAATTTTCTCCTAATCATCCAAATATGAAAATTCCGTTTAAAAAGGAGAGAGAGAAAATGCTATCTATATACAAAGACCTTATACAGAAATCACCAAACCCAGCAAGTGACTCCCTTTAGACCAATCACTCCTTTGAGTGGTATATTCATTGGATTTAAACATACCAGGCTTGGGGCACCTGGGTGGCTCAGTTGGTTAAACGTCTGACTTCAGCCCAGGCCATGATCTCACGGTTCTTTGGTTCGAACTCCGTGTTGGGCTCTGTGCTGAGAGCTAGCTCAGAGCCTAGAGCCTGCTTTGGATTCTCTGTCTCCTTCTCTCTCTGACCCTGCCCTGATCATGCTCTCTCTCTCTCTCAGAAATAAATAAAAAAACAATAAAAAAATTTAAACATGGCTTGAATTTCCAAAGTTGTTGGCTGTTAGATCAAGCCATACAAATAAGAAAGCCTTAAAATTTTTTCCAAGGCAGAAAAACATGCCCTAGTATTTAAGGTAAACATAAAAATTCAGGTCTTGGGGCACCTGGGGCATTTGACTCTTGATTTCAGCTCAAGTCATGATCTCACAGTTTGTGAGTTCAAGCCCAGAATCAGGCTCTGCACGGGCAGCATGGAGACTGCTTGGGATCCTGTCTCTCTCTCTCTCTCTCTCTCTCTCTCTCTCTCTCTCCCTCTCTCTCTGTCCCTCCCCTGCTCTTTCTCTCTCTCTCTTTCTCAAAACAAATAAACAAAACAAATATTAAAAGAATTTAAAATTTCAGGTCCCTCTCAAAATAAAGTGCTGTATTGATTGTAGTACGTACACATTTCTTAAACATTTAACATGTGTGAAACTATGCTACCATTTTTATTCAGTTCTTACTTTTGTTTTTAAACATGTCACTTGATGAAGTCTTGAAGTGTTGTGACACATTTTTCCTGTAAAACCCTGTGGTTTTGACACAATTTTCATAGCACTTCCATTTTGGAGACTGCATACGTGGTGTTACAGCAAAACTGACTGTATTACACTTTAGAGAAGGCCACTAGCTTTCTACAAATAAAACTCATCTATACATTACATTTAAAGTGACAATTATCCAGAAAGATCATCATAAGTAAGATTGACGGTCTGTCAATAATGAAAGAACGTGGCGGTGGGGGATGGGAATTCCATCTCTAGGTTGACAGCAGTGTACTTAGCATTTCCTCTGAGACAGCATACCATCGTCTCAACTGCACCCCATATGTCCAAAATTGAAGTCTTCATCTTATTTTGAAGAACTGTTCCTCCTCTAGTTTCCGCCATCTGAGAGAAAACTGTCCCTTCATTCTTGCTCTTTCTCCCACTCACTCCTGAGCCTTGGTCATCCTGAATGACTCCTCCCACTCACCAAACTGCACCCAAACCATCACCAGACCTGTCTACTCATCTCCTCAGTACATTTCCAATCTCTCACCTTCTCTCTGTCTCCACTGCCCTGACCTGGTCTACATCTTCCGGAGGCTGCCATTTCTTTTTAATGGTGCCCCTGTTTACAGGTTCTTGTCAGAGTATGCTGTGAGGAATACAAGAATTAGGTCATACCTCTGACTAAAAAGTTCAATGACTTCTATTGTAGGCTTTATGATCCACAAAATTCCTTTAGTTCAACATGGCATAGCCCCGGCCACCTCTTAAATCTCATCTTATAATATTAGTCCCCCTCAGCCCCATTCCCAGCTTGATGGAGCCACGTCCTTCCTTGCCTCACAGCTCCCCTCATACTGTTCCTCTTATGTGCACTTCTCACCTGTTTAATTCATACTCAACTTTCAGGTCTTAGGTATATATCACTTTTTCAGAAACATTTTTTACCTCCTACTCTAAATGAGCACCCTCTTCACTCTCTTACTGGTCTTACAATTATTGTCCATCTTGAGGCCGATCTCAATTTGCATTTTTTTATACATTTGTATGATCGTTTACTAAATTCTCTATTTCTCACTGGACTATGCATCCCACAAGGACAGAGAGTTATCCTATTTTGGTCACAATATTGAATAACATATGTCTTTCACAGAATGAAAATTTTCAGTATTTGCATCACGAATAAATTCCCTCAGAAAACATTTATCACATGTTTTAGATGTTGGAATATGTTCTGGAACTATATCTAAGAACACATGGTCTTTTCTGGGAAGGCATAATCAGATCATCATCCTAATAGCAGTACTTAGCATTTTGTGGATTTGTGATGGGTTATATATTGTCAAAATCCATCTTCACAACAATGCTATGAAGTTGGTACAGTTGGGTTGTTAGCCTCACTTCCCAGATGAAGAAACTGACTCGGCAAGGTTAAGCAATCACCCAGGGTTATACAACCAGTCAGTGGCAGAAGTCTCATACATGTCCTCTACTCTCTACAGAAGCAGAAAGGACATACTCATCCTTAGGGAGTGGTGAAAACTTTCACTGAAAAGTAAAATTTGATCTGCGTCTTAAAGAATGGGTCAGAGGTTTTCAGACAGAAAAGGGGGTGAGGGTATGCCAGAAGGAAGAGCAGATGCATGTGTGTGAAGGACATGGCATATTTGTGGTGGGGCCAAGGAATCCAGAGGAGGTAAAGCACTCAGTCACGTGGCAGAGAGAACGAGGAAAGGATGCAAAAGAAACAGGCTGGGGCCAGATTAAGAAAGACCTGCATTAAATCTAAGCTGATCAAAGGAAAGCCCGTGATAGTTATGGTCTAACAAAATTACAAATATTCCACCTACTTCCTGTGTCTTAAAACGCTAAGTGTACAGATTCTACCACCGGAAAACAAAAGTGCCAGACTTATTAAAACATCTGGATAACTAAAGTCAGATGTTAGAAATTTCTAATTAAACTGGGGCGCCTGGGTGGCTTAGTCGGTTAAGCGTCCGACTTTCGCTTAGGTCATGATCTCGCGGTTCGTGGGTTCGAGCCCCGCGTCGGGCTCTGTGCTGACTGCCAGCTCTGAGCCTGGAGCCTGTTTCAGTCTGTGACTCCCTCTCTCTCTGACCCTCCCCTGCTCGCACTGTCTCTCTCTCTCTCCTAGAAATAAATAAAATATTAAAAAAAAAAAGAAATTTCTAATTAAAATAAACCCACAGCCATCTTCCTACTCCATTCTCTTGCTTGGACATATCTGTCCTAGATAAACAGGTATGCGGTAGGGGTGCCCCGCGGCATAGGAGAGCCACGGGGATCCAGAGTGGGATTTTGGAGCAAGATCAGTGTGAGATGAGTGTCCACTCAGAGAGGCAGCCCAGGGTGAAATCTCAGTGCTCCAGAGGGGTGGGAAGACATCCAGGTAGGGGATGGGGATTCTATAGGGTCCATTCTTAGGAGATGGGCATAAGGTGCCAGAGCCTGAGTATTTCCACAGAGGCACAGCCCAGTGCCGGGGATCATAGCTACATAAGGATGACATCCATGAAGAGGGAACTGGGTGAGGAGGAAGTCCAGGTATGAAGGTGGAAGGTGTCAGAGCCCAGGAGAGGTGAGGAGTGATTCTGTGTGGGAGAGTGGCCCGATGTAGGGTGTAAGAGGCCAGCTGGAATAACGAAGGTGCCTAGCATGGGGACTGAAAACCCAAATGGAATGAGGAAGGTATCCCTGGGGGGGATGGAGCAGGATCAGTGATAGGAGTGAGTTAAATACACTGTATATTTAGCATATATTAAGAATACAAAAAATAATCATGCAGCGTTTTCGCCAGAGAATAAAGTTACAAATATGGAAAGGAATCCTAATTGACTAGAATTGAATACTTCAATGTAAACTCAGGGATTTATAAAACTATCTCTATGATAGCGAAATAAATATACAGTAGTCTCTGCTTATCCACAGGAGATATGTCCCAAGACCCCCAGGGACTGCCTGAAACTGCAGATAGCACCAAACCATATATACATATACATGTATATGTACACACACACATCATGTATTTTCCTGTACATATAAATGTATGATAAAGTTGAATTTATAAATCTGAGATTTAAGAGATTAACCACAATAACTAATAATAAAATAGAACAATTAGAACAATATACTGTAATAAAAGTTCTGTGAATGTGCTCTCTTTCTCTCTCAAAACATCTTTCTGGGGGCACCTGGGTGGCTCAGTCTGTTAAGAATCTGATTCCTGATCTCAGCTCAAGTCATGATCTCACAGTTTGTGGGTTTGAGCCCCCATGTCAGGCTCCTGGAGCCTGCTTGGGATTTTCTCTCTCTCTCTCTCTGTCCCTCCCCCCCTCAAAATAAATAAATCAACTTAAAAAACAAAACATCTTTCTGTACCAAGGCACCTGTGAGGCTCAGTAGGTTGAGCATATGACTCTTGATTTCGGCTCGGGTCATAATCTCACAGTTCACGATACTGACGTCTGCATCAGGCTCTGCATTGACAGCATGGAGTCGGCTTGAGATTCTTTCTTCCTCTTTCTGCCCCTCCCCTTGTTCACACGTGCAGGATCTCTCTCAAAATAAATAAACTTAAAAAAAATCTTTCTGTACTTTGCTCCCTCTCCTTGTAATGATGTGGGGTGATCAAATGCATGTGATGAGTTGAAGGGAGGTGAATGACACAGGCATTGTGACATGTTGTTAGGTTACTACTGACCTTCTGACAATATCAGGAGGAAGATCGTCTTCTTCCAGGCTGCGGCTGGTTGACCCTTGTGACTGAAACCATGGAAAACAAAACTACAGATAAAGGGATGCCACTGTACATGTCTGTGCTTGTGCACGTGTGGTGTTCATGTTTACTTACATTTGCTAGCTCTGTCCACTGCAAGGGCATGATAAGGTCAAGAACCATATGTACACCTAGCACTCAGACCTTCGTTTCTAAAGACCTTTATCCACTGGAAACAGGGCTTCTTTGAATAAACAGAAGATTCCAAGGCCGGGGAAGAAAAAGTACAAGGTGAGCCCACAATATTTTATTGTGTCTGAAAGTGAGGAAATATTCAAAAAATGATGGGAACTTGTCAAACGCCACAAAAGCCAGGTTGGAGGGGTTCTCACTGGCCAAGTCAGAGATAATTTCAAGGTCAAAATAAACACAAAGTAACAGATTTACCAATTAATTTAAGTCCAATTGTAACAAATGTACCACTCTGGTGGGGAAGTGTAATAATGGAGGACATTGTGGATGTGTGGGGGTAAGGGACATAGAGTAAATCTTTGTACCTCCCCTTCAGTTTTGCTGTTAACCTAAAACTATTCTAAAAAAAACCAGTCTTTAAAGATAAATTAAATAGGGAGTCATGTGCCCATATTTATAGAAATAATCCATTGAACAAACAAATTGAAACTATGATGAGACAGGGGATTTTACATCACCTCAAAGTATCTTTTCAAGAGAGGCGTCTAGGTGGCTGAGTCACTCAAGTATCTGACTCTTGAGTTCAGCTCAGGTCATGATCTGATGGTTTGTGGAATCGAGCCCCATGTTGGGTTCCATACTTATGGTAAGAAGCCTGCTTGGGATTCTCTCTCCTCTCTGTCTCTCTCAAAATCAATAAACATTTTAAAAATATGTATCTTTTCAAGAAAAAATACCTAACTGCAAAGGTTAAAAGAGTAACTTCACAGTGGACAAGGTGGCCCCCTTACTGACGTGATGAAAGTGAATGCCACCAGCAACAGGCTGATGCAAAGAAAGGAGTGAAGCATCACTTTTGCAATATCCCTGCTGAAGATGCAGAACCTGAGTCTAAAGAAAAGGAAATATTAGGCAAACCTAAGTAGAGGACATTCTGTAAAGTGATTGGATCTTCAAATGTGTCAGGATCATTAGTCAAGGAAAGGCTGAGAAGGTGCTGCAGATGACAGAGGCTAAACAGACAAGTAAATGCAATGTGATTTTGAGCTTCAACCTTTTATTATAAAGGATATTATTTCAATGTGATCTGAGGACGAGACGGCAGTAAGGTATCAATGTTAACTTCCTAATTTTGAGGGTTGTACTGGGGCTATACCCTTCTTGTAGGAAATTCACGTTCAAGTATTCAGGTTGCTGAAGCATAATATCAGCAATGTACTCAACAATAGGTTCAGGAAAACAGAAGTTCTTTGTACTTACTGTAGACCCATCATTCCTGAGAGTTGATTTTTCTTCTAAATAAAGAAACAACAATAATATCACATTTATATGTCTGCTCAATTCTCCAGAATCTAGCTTGAACTCAAATAAACCACAGGTGGATCTTTGTCTTTTGAACTCCTAGCAATATATTGTTTCCCTTAGCAACTCACTGAAAGGTATGTTCATTCCCACTTACACAGTTCTTAACAAATTATTCTTGGTTTTCAATCTTTCCAGCCAATTATGTTTATTATATAACCATGGTTGAGGTTGATAGACCAAGATTACCAGAAGCACACTAAAATAAAAATAATAATAATAGTAAAATAACAACATAAAATGTTGAGTGTATTTAGCTTGCTGTAGCAAAGGTCAAGGCAACCCACAGGAGCTGTAGGAGTATCTCAGTAAGTGGGAGTTGAGAAAGGCTTTTTATGGGATTTGAGTTTCTGCTGGATGATTCAAAGGAGTTAAAAAAGCAGGGACAAATTCTGGATTGGAAGCCACCAAGAAGCAAGGCAGATTCAGTGATTGGGAATCCTAACACTTTCTGTCTCAGAGGTGGAGGATTAAGGCAAGCATAGAGGCGCCCCGGAGAAAGAAGCAGCAATCACCCACGTTAGTCAGAAGAGGGGGGTGTTTAGTCATTTCTGCAGTCATGCGGTGGCCTGTCTGTGGCATGTTCTTGGCAACGTTCATGGCCTATTGAGAATATTATGGTCTGGTTATCATCAGGGCTATTTTTCAATTTCTCACCAAAAATGTGGGAGAAGGGCTCCTGTGTGGCTCAATCGATTAAGCATCTGAATTCTGATCTCGGCTCAGGTCATGATCTCATGGCTCATGAGACTGAGCCCCGTGTTGGGCTCTGCACTGACAGTGTGGCACCTGCTTGGGATTCTCTCTCTCTCTCTCTCTCTCTCTCTCTCTCTCTCTCCCTCCCTCTCTCTGTCTATCTAGCTCTCTCTCAAAATAAATAAATAAAAATTTAAAAAAAAAGTAAGTGTTAAGTAGGTCTGTAAGAGGCAGACATTGTAAACATAGGAAGTAATCGCTGTAGCCTATTATTAAGGGAAGAAAGCGTGGAGCTAAAATAAAAATATGAAGAAGGAGGAGGAGGAGGAAGAGAAGGAGGAAAAGAGGAGAGGAAGAAGGAGGGGGAGGAGTGGAAGGAGAGGAAGGAAAGTAAAAATGTAGTAAAATGTAGTCAAACAAAGGGAAGAGTGGGAAGAGGGAGAGGAAGAAAACAGTAAATTGGCTGCTATTTCTAAGGCTTTACATACACCAAACATTTTTCATTTTCAAAGCCACACAGCAAATTAGCTAGTATTATTATCTTCATTTTACAGATGAGAAAATTGAGGAACTGGGAGATTAATTTCCCCAGTGCCACTCAGCTAGCAAGTAGCAAAGCCAGGGTCACTATATAATACACACGATGGTGGGTTTATACGTCCAATGGCTAAATATTTACTGAAGCTACCACATACAAAGTATTATCTGGTATTACAGGAAATCATATGATATAGCACCCTCTAAAATATGCCTGAAAACTCTTCCAAACATTTGCCATTCTCATCAATCCCCCTTCTTCCCCTCTTCCTCACAGTTTCAAAGGGTGTAACATAGTCTCACATGTCAGTTGAAATACGGGATCAACAATGTATCTTGTTTGACTTTAACTTTGACTTTAACTTACCCGCAACTCAGGCCTTCATCTCCTCCCATTCTTCTCCCTGTGCTTACCTTGTTTCTTTTTTAAACTCTGCTGCTCATGTACACTCCGTGTGTTGTGCCAATTGTCTGCTTATATATCTGTGTCTTAGGAGACATTATTTATATTTTTGGCTGTTTAGCATCTTGATTTCCTTTTGGGGAATTTCTCCTACCCAGTGGTATGCTGATAAAATCTGGCTCTCCAGGGGGAGAAAAAAAATATTTTTAAATAGTATTTTTACTAATAAAATGTTATTATAAATGTTACATACAAACCTTACATTTTGTTATAAATTTTACTGATATAAAGAACATATAACAATCTATAAATAATAATAAAATCTATAATACTCTGTCTTTCCATTGTAAATTCCATACGGCAATTAATTCTCACAGAATGCTTTTGTTTTTTTTAACTCTTTTTTTAAAATTTAAAAATAAAAACATATTTAATGACAGACAGAGTGCAAGTCAGGGAAGGGCAGAGAGAGAGGGAGACACAGAATCCGAAGCAGGCTCCAGGTTCTGAGCTGTCAGCAGAGCCCAACTGGGGGCTCAAACTCCCGAACTGCGAGATCATGAGCTGAGCCGAAGTTGGACGCTTAACCGACTGAGCCACCCAGGTGCCCCTGTAACTCTGGTAGCCAAACTATAGTAGTAGTTGATGACAACGTGTAGCTACGGCTCAAACGTTGCTGGCATTATCATGTACTTAATGAGCAAGGGAAAGGGAAACAACAAAGAGACATGTCAGAACTATTCTGGTTCATCGATGACATAAGTTCTTTGATGAATCTCATAACAGTTTTTGAATACTAGAGAAATATTTCCTCAATTTTTTGAGCTCTTTGTAATGTAATGGCTGCAGCTGTCATACAATTTTAAATTTAATCTGCATTATTTCTCCATCACTTTCTTAAGTCTGAACAACCAAGAAAACGATAAATCAAGTCCTACTTTGTAGCATTTGTGAGTTTGTATGGTACAAAACAGTCCCACCCCAGACAATTTCGTAGCCCATCAATGTATCATATTTCCACCCCAAAGCCACAGTAGATGCAATGCAAATAACCTTAAGGACATAAATAATAGTAAAATGTCGTAAAACAATTAGGAAGTGGTAAGTTTTGAGTACTATTTTTGTTTTAATTTAATTTATTTAACTGTACGTTAAAATCATTTAATTTTAAATAATTACTGTTTTTAACAAGTGGCTTATAAACTTCCTGAAAATGGAACAATTGGCTGTTAGGAGCAGTACAAGCCAGTCTAGCACACCACTGCTTCTTCCCTACAGGTCATGGGCACTCTTGGGTAGGAAGAACCATCTTCCATGTTTTATAAAGGAGACCAAAGGAAACAGGTCTCCCCTCCACCACAAGGAGTCAAGGGACAGGCCTAGATGCTAAGCTTGGCCCCTAATGTGCTCCTCCTGGGGTCTGAATTTTGACTGACTCATAAAATGAGGGAAGAAACAATTGGAGATCCATTGCCCATCATGGCGGCAGTTGCTAACCAACCAGCTCCTGCTGTGGAACCGTGCTAGGCTTCCCTTCCTACTGTGTGGAGGGCCCCTGGTTACTGCCTTTCTTAACACCTGTTCTTAAGCCTGTGATCCTCCCATGTCTTTCTATAAGCTACCTGTGGGATCTCTCTATTGCTCACACTCAACAAACCCAACAGTTACTGTGCAAGGTCTTAGAGGGATTGGCTGGATCTTCCTGTTTCTAAATCTTGTACCTCACATAGTGCTAACACCAGGTGAAGAATCAATAAATATTTGCTAAAATGAATATGTGAATGGATTTTATATGTGAACATGTGAACGTTAGGGTAACATTCCTGATTATATAGATCATATACAACCCCCTAACATAATTTGAAATAATAAGATAACATTCTGAGTTCCAGAGTTTCAGAATAAATGTTGTAGCACGATGTTTCTGCGTGTGATAATTATACAGTAGTCCTCTCCTTATCAGTGAGGGATAAATTCCAAGATCCTCAGTGGATGCCTGAAGCCACAGAGAGTAAACAGCCCCATATATACTGTTTTATTCTTATACATAGACACCTCTGATAAAGTTTAATTTATAAACCAGGTGCAGTGAGAAATTATT